CTTTCTCAGAAAAACAACTTCAGGGAAATTTAGCAATTATATATTTTGGCTCCTACAATTTTGAATATAGAACACACTGACAGAAGGCAGAAGGCTGGAAGAAGTGTCCACACATGCAGCACGTTCTAAACTAATGACTTAGTCTCATTTACGATTTATCATTCTGGAGGGTGTGTAGGCTAAAGATTTAAATTTTCTTCCAACTTAATAGGCTCTATGCCCTTATTATATTTGAAGTAAAGTTTTCAGTGACTACAGAAAGAACGTGAAAATTGCTTTCTTTACAACTGTTACTGTTTTCATATGAGATTAGGTATTCCAAGTAGAACATAATTGATTTTATTCATTCTTCTTATAATATGCTTTGGTTTATTCATTCATCCATCCATTGTGTCAGTTTTCGCTTTTTTTTTTTTCAGTTTTTATTTAAATTCCAATTCGTTAACATGCAGTGTAATATTAGTTTCAGGTGTAGACTTTAGCGATTCAACATTTAGATTCAACATTTACATACAACATCCGGGGCTCATCACAAGTGCCCTCCTTAATCCCCATCACCCATTTAACCCTTCGCCCCCCACCTCCCCTCTGGTAACTATTAATTTGTTCTCTACAGTTAAGAGTCTATTTCTTGAGTTGTCTTTTTCCCTTTGCTCATTTGTTTTGTTTCTTAAGTTCCATGTATGAGTGCGATCATGTGTTAATTGTCTTTCTCTGACTTATTTCACTCAGCATAATGGCAAGATTTCATTATTTTATGGCTGAATAATATTCCACGAGATATTTTTTCAACTTTGTATATTATATATATAATATAAAACCTTCTGTATCCATTCATCTGTTGATGGACATTTGGTCTCTTTCCATACTTAGGCTATTGTAGATAGTGCTGCTACAAACATTGGGGTGCATGTAGCTCATCAAATTAATTTTGTATCCTTTGGATGAATACATAGTAATGAAATTGCTACAATTAGCCACAGTGCGATTCCTGATAAAGTATCCTTAAAAACTTGTTTCCAGAAATAAAAAGATGCCTATTTCTAAACCCAGAAAACCATAATTTAATCAATTCATTAGACAGTTTCTCCAAAATATATTTACTCATACATAAGTAAAAGTAATTATATTTTAAGATGCTTTTAGAAGTTTGATTATTTTATTTAATGAAAACTAATGTTCCAATACTTCCAATTCTGACTGCATTAACTTGCAAAGTTGTATCATCATACTTTCATTTTTCAATTTAGTTGCATACCATTCTAAAAACTGCTAATGACCTAAATTTGTTTTCAAACTTCATTTTCGGATCGCAAACCCCTGCAAGTACACTAGTTATTTATTCTTCACATTTATATCGTCTTAAATTTTATAGATATTTTCCCACCATAATGAAAAAAAATTAATATTGGAGCCTAACCATCTTCCAGATTAGAATGATTTCCGTGTGTTTGACACGGCCTCTTATCCATACACTCATAGTATTATTCAAAAAGCACGTTCGTCTTTCCTTTGGAAAGTGTTGAGAGTTTCCACGGAGGCTGGTAAAATGAGCGATTCTGCACTATGTGAGCTTGTGAGCTTTTTTTATTATTAGCATTGACTTCCAACTGACTTTCTGAGCTACACCTGGTACTGTTCTAACTTGGAATGCTGCTTCTTACTTGATAACTTGCACGTTTAAAATGTTAATCTTGTGTGTAAAAGGAATATTTAGTAGAAAGAGGCCAGCGTGATTTACTTGATAATATTTGGAAGTAAATAAGACATTTATGCTGAAGAAAAGGAATTATGAGTTTGCTTGATTTTATTTTTTTTTAATTTTTTTTTCAACATTTATTTATTTTTGGGACAGAGAGAGACAGAGCATGAACGGGGGAGGGGCAGAGAGAGAGGGAGACACAGAATCGGAAACAGGCTCCAGGCTCTGAGCCATCAGCCCAGAGCCTGACGCGGGGCTCGAACTCACGGACCGCGAGATCGTGACCTGGCTGAAGTCGGACACTTAACCGACTGCGCCACCCAGGCGCCCCGAGTTTGCTTGATTTTAAATGTGAGATAATCCTTATTTTACTTCAATAGTAATTTAAGCACTCCCCCCCCCCACCATTTTTTGGAAGGAGAGAAAGATTTTTAACGGCCCACACTTTGCTAATTACTGAAAAACAGTCATTGGCTTATGTTACTTACTTCCCAGAGCATCTGACTGGACTTCATCCAAAATTGCAGAGACCATGTGAAAGAATACAGTAACATTTACCAAGGAAGTTCATTGATTCAATCTCAGAAAAGTAAACACAGTTCCTCAGTGATGTTTCCTAGGTGTTACAACATGAATCTTAAGGAGGTATGATTAGGCCTAGTAGAACAACATCTGTGTGTTTGATGAAAAGGATTTTCATTACTTTAGGAGACTTGATTTGGCAAAAAAAAAAAAAAAGTTTGAATGAATTAAAAATTCCCTTACTTTGCCCCAACTTAACGTTTGCTCATGAAAGAAATCACTAGACTTAAAGAATGCATCATTGACTACACGCAAAGAGAGCAGATTACCAAAATGTGGGTAAATGATGAGAGTCAGTCGAAGCAAAGCAGTTCAGACTCTTCTCTCCATTTGCTCTCACCTGCTTGCGAAGCTGCTTCCTGACGGTAAGTGCCAAGAAACCACAGAGATCACATTGAAGGGACTATCACCAGGAATTATGAGTAGAAACTTCTAGCATAAAATTTGATCAAAAACCAATTCTATTCGTAAAAAACACACTCAAATTCCTCGTTACAAAATGTAAAAACATTTTATTTGGAAGTTTTATACAAATTTAGTATTTATTATCTTTCACTTGGTAGTTCTATTATAATTGTATAATATAAAGAAAATATAATGATTGCTTTCACCGAGACCCACATAAAATGTCCCCCAAATACCTCATATTCACCCGGCGTGCTCTATCATTATGCTCGTTTTCTATGTGAGACACCGACACGGAGTCTGAAAGCCCAGTACACAGCTTGATAATGTCTAACGTGGGATTAGCCCATTTGAAAGAATACATGAATAAATACCTTCACCCAAAAATGGCCGAAAACTTCAAAAGAACCAGGAAAACACAATGACTTACATAAAGTCTACCTTTGCAGAACTTTTTATTATTATTTTTTTAATGTTTATTTTTGAGAGAGAGAGAGAGAGAGCTCAAGCTGGGGAGGGGCAGAAAAAGAGAGGGAGACACAGAATCAGAAGGAGGCTCCAGGCTCCGAGCTGTCAGCACAAGAGCCCAATGAAGGGCTTGAACTCACAAACCGTGAGATCATGACCTGAGCCGAAGTCGGACGCATCACCGACTGAGCCACCCAGGGGCCCCACAAACATTTTTAAAAGTAAAAGAGTTCCACCATATTGACAACACAAATCGGAAGACATCAAATAAACAGAGTGATCAAAAATGGCAGTTAAACTTCAGTCCAATGCCATCATTGTAATCACAGGATTAGCCTGAGTAAATAGATATTAAAAGCCCAATAATTCCTTCGTATACTAATCTGAGTTCCTTCTTTTTAGTAACGGCTCTATTGAGGAATTGGCCAAGTTTTTCTTCTGTTCGTGTCTTATTTTTCCTTAAATATATCTGGCAAGACGAATCAGAGAGGGCATTTTTCCTTCATGTTCTCTAAAGGTCCACCATATAGGATCTTCTAGAGAAAGAACACAGCAGCCAGCACACTGCTCTCTTAGGAAAAGCATGAGGGATCCCTAACCACGCCAACCCGAATGATACCAGACCTCAAAATGAACATGGAAAATGCACACGTAGGACATCAGAGGTGGGACATCAACACAGAGTGTTACGAGCTATTTCCCTATAATGTCTGATCACGTTTACTACCTGGTTACAGAGAACTTTCATTCCGGCAAATCAGGAATGCAACATATTGAGAATAATAATGATCAGCAGCAAATATTTAATTCAGGGCATGAGGAAGTAAAAAGGGAGGAAGGGCATCTACTATATAGGCTGTTATATAAGTCTAATAAACAATCAGTCGTCAAACATAGTAGATACACATTAAAACATGTTTGAAGCAAAATCTCTCAAGCAGCTAAGTGCTTGGAACCTTAAAACTTATTAAAATAGTAGTAGTTATTATAATTACTGCTACTGTTATTCATCTTTATTATACTATTGTTATAATAAGGGAAGTCATAGACACTGTATCTCCAGAAGTCTGAAATCCTTAATAAATACAGAGTTTATAGGAAAATATAACCTTATAATGGAATGCCCTTTATATTCAATTAAAAGGTAAAATGAAAATCTCGACTAGATAGCAGCTTCCATGATATCAAAACCACTTACGTCCCTTACTATCTTTGGTTATTTTCCTTAATTCCAACCCTGAAAAAATAAAGAATGCAGGACATTAAAATCAGATACATTGTATCTGGACTGAAATTTACATTTTACTAAGTGTATCCAAAAAAAAAAAAAAAAAAAAAAAAAAAAAAAACAATGTCTAGCATTATGTATGAACTCTGAACTATTAACATAATTTTGAATTATTATACAATTTAAAAAGTTGAACATTTAGAAAAGAATTACTCATAATACAACATGTATTTCACGTTCAAAACCATGGGTTATTATTCAGCTGTCAGTAGAGAATGGAATGCAACAATAAACATATTGCAACACCTTTACTTAAATTAGCTTAAAAATATCACATGGAATTAAAGCACGGTAGACACATACCCAGTCTACTGAGTCATAAAGCAGTTGCTTGAACATCCAGAGCCACAATAAGTAGTTACGTACAGCATAATACAGATATGTAATAACGATAAATATGTTATGTGAAACAACTTAATTGCTAGTTAACGAAGGATCCCTTTTAGGTTATTTTTGGCATGCTGCCAGAAACTCGTCAAGGAACTGGACGGCAGGTTCTGCTAATTGACAGGCTCACAGCGTGGGGGACTCGGGAGTCTTCAAGTAGACGCGCGGTTAAAATGTAGGCTTGCTCATATATTCTTCCATCGTCTGAAAGAGAACGAGAAATTAGAACAAGAGCCCCTTCGACAGCCTTTAGCAGAATGTGAAACCTTTGTCATTCTTTTACTTCCTTATTGTTTGCGGTTATTGAACAGAAGTTATCTAAACGGGGATGGACATCAATCTTTGCATTCTGATCAAGAACAGCGGTTCAAAGTTTGAGCGTAACGTGCATACACATCCATGTGGCTGGAACTTAATAACTTTCCACGGAAAAAGCTACGCTTGATCCCAAAAAGAATGTCCGACAAGAGAAATTCTAAAGCAACAGCTGCCAATATGCCACTGTTGACTTCGGGTAAACGTGCCTAAATGATCATGAGCACCCACCTCCAGGCACACGTAGTAGAGAAATCTCGACTGTATCTCTGTAACGTCAGAATTGCTACAGATACTGTGCAAATCATCTTTCTACGCTTGTTGGCAAGATATAAAAAGCACACACAAACTAGGATTCTTAAGGGTTTCTTCCATGTATTTTGAAAAGGCTTTCCTCCAAAGTATGCGAACTTCCTTCATCCTCCTCACCAGTTAGCAAGTTTGTCAACATGCCAGAAGGCCATAATTTTTTTGCCACTACTTTTGAAGAAACGTTCGGCCAGATTCACAATTACAGGTAGAGTTGAAATATACTGTGATGGGCAAGCCCTTTACCATGCAAGATAAATGGGTTGTCTCTTGCATTCTCTTCTATTGTAAACATATATTTGTGTAACACAGTGGCTCCTGCGTCGAATCAATACAAAAGTTCAAGGGGGGGCAGCCTTGGGGAAACGCCCCTGCCTCTTTCGTGCAAGCCCCAGTCAGCTCCATCAGTAGTGATCAAACTGTGCTTAACCTTGAACCTCAGGGTGCATAATTCACTTGCACCTGGCCGGGAAGACAATTGATCCGCATGGGCCAAACGGCAAGGCCATGGCTAAGCAATATCACTCAGAGGGAACCAAGGTTAGAAATCAGGCATTCCAACGGGTTTTCACCAGCTCTGTTTAGAATTCCAGGACTCCTATGCTGAAACACTTGCACTCGGTCACCCACACTTTCTTATAAAGCTCTTACGCCTCCAGATGAGCACTGGCCAAGAGAAGCCCACACCCCCAGCCCTCTGCCCTGTCTGCATCTCCTCTTACAATTGCTGCCGGTGTCTTCAAACTTAGCAGGGCTATCACACTGGCCAGGGGCCCACACCTGTTTTCTAGCACCTAGAGTTTATACCATTTGAAAAGGAATACAAAGTTGCAAGTACAAAATTGGATATGAAGTTGATTTAGAATGAGGAAGGCAGTAACAGATTATGCGTTTTTAAAGGACAAGTATCCCAAAATCCAGAACCATAGCCTAAGGTTTTCATTCATTAAGTGTCTGACATGCTTCTATAATGTATTCACTGTATGGCTACATGCGCTTTGCGGCTACGATATCTTACCTTTATAAATTCCACCACATGAGCCTGCAGCCTCGGAAGGGGCTTGGGCCAGCAAAAGCCTCTGGAATTGTCACTTTGCCGGCTTCTAGTTATTGGCACCACCTCCCACCACTGGCTACCTCAGTCGGCTACAGACGACACTGACTGCCCTTTCTGGGCCATGCTGTTACTCAAGTTACATGAATCAATAGCGTACAAGGTTGGTATTTTCTTGAGCTTCCTGCTTTCAAGGTTGGAATAGACACTCAAGGCTGGCACAACCTTAAAGAGCTCTGTGTTTCACAAGAGGACCAGGATCTGTCCCTCAGGACCCCTTCTTGCACCACCAAGTTTCTTGTGGATTTCGCACTGTACATACTGTAAGTTTTTACTGCTTTATGGCTTTGCTTAGCAGTTAACATGGGTTGTGGGTTTTGTTTTCGTCGTTGTTGTTGTTGTTGTTGTTTTAGAGAGAGAGCGTGCGCGCAGGGGAGGGGCAGAGAGGGAGAGAGGATCCCAAGCAGGCTTCATGCTCGGTGTGGAGCCCAAGGATCCTGGGATCATGACCTGAGCCAAGATTGGAAGTAGGACACTTAACTGACTGAGCCACCGAGGTACCCCAACGTGGGTTGTGCTTTTCAGGGTGACAATGTGGGGATGCACCTATGCCATTCTCATGCCTCCACGCATACACAGGCAAGGTATTCTCCCGCTTGAGCCAATGAGACACCATTTTGACTCGGGCTCCTCATTTTGTGGGGAAACCTCTTCTGTCCGTCGCCCCCACTGGTGATGCCAGGAATTGCAACCCCTGCAGGTAGTAAGCTAACTACCTTCCTCTTTCAGTTTGTTTTCTTATCACTTCAAGCCACTGTCCACGGGTTGTCACCCACAAAATAAGATACCTCCAAAAGTCACCCCCAACCAATTAAACTGTTCTTTGCGTTTTTTTATTAAAAAAAATTTTTTTTAACGTTTATTTATTTTTAAGACAGGGAGAAACAGAGAATGAGCAGGGGAGGGGCAGAGTGAGGGAGACACAGAATCCGAAGCAGGCTCCAGGTTCTGAGCTGTCAGCACAGAGCCTGATGCGGGGCTCGAACTCACAAACCGTGAGATGGTGACCCAAGCCGAAGTTGGACATTAACCGACTGAGCCACCCAGGTCCCCTAATCTGTTCTTTTTTAATCCATATCACTAACACCGAGCCCCAGGACACTCAGAATAATCTTTGAGCATTTGCAAATTTAAGACTCTGTGTCTTCTTACTAAATGTGCGAGGATGGCCTTTTTATTCTAAGAAACCTTTGTTAATTAGGGGTCCGGGAAAGTTCTAGGGGCTAAAAGCGAAAGCAATGTGACAAAGGCCTCCCTTAACCTTTAGTAGCTAAAATATGTGCTTAGGTCCAAAGGACAGGGAAAAAAAGGAAGCAGTATTTTTTTTTCTTTATGTAATTACATGGCTTGTGCCTAGTCATTCTACACTTTTCTGACCAGATATACACAGCACATTTTTCAGCCAGCTCCCCAAACGTTCACTGACTTAGCTGAAGTACCCGGAGCCCCAGAGAATGCTGATAACGTTGTCCCTATTTGGCAGGTGCTGTTAGTTTACCCAGAGAGATTTAGAGGGCAGTCATGACGTTGCCTGGTCACCATGGGGACACAGAGGCTAAACGGAGGGGCCCGTGAGCCCTGCCCATCAAGACCTTCCGCTCGATCAGCAAGAACCCGAACTACCAGTTAGCGTTTAATTGTGGAAGGGCTCTTTCTTTTTTAAATTTTTTTTTTTTCAACGTTTATTTATTTTTGGGACAGAGAGAGACAGAGCATGAACGGCGGAGGGGCAGAGAGAGAGGGAGACACAGAATCGGAAACAGGCTCCAGGCTCTGAGCCATCAGCCCAGAGCCTGACGCGGGGCTCGAACTCACGGACCACGAGATCGTGACCTGGCTGAAGTCGGACGCTTAACCGACTGCGCCACCCAGGCGCCCCTGGAAGGGCTCTTTCTTGAAATGCCGGCTTCCCAGATTTCTGTGGAACTAGCAGCATCAGATGCACTCCCAGCTCTTTAAAACCCTGTATTTCTTCCAGAGCAGGAATTCAAAATAACCCAGATTGTGTCCTGGCCCCAGTTCAGAAAGCTGCAATTACCGTTAGTGCCCGACACCCCGCTAAAAAGTCTCTTTCTCCCGTAAGTAGACTCCACGGTAAGGGCCCTGAGGATAGGGTTATAAGTAGCCCTTGGCATATTTTAAGAAAGGTTGTCCTGTGGAATTTCCAAACCCCTGATTTCTCAAGCACCTTGTAAAATTCCTTTCCTTTGGCGTTTGGAGAGAGCCAAGCAAACATCAGAAGGTTTAAATGCATTTCTTGCGGTGAGGACACCTCCAGAGGGAGATGAACCAGTCTCCTCAAAGGCACACGCAGATGCTTCCGGCACCTACTCCAACAGGTGTCTTCCTCAGAGTCCATTCACCTGAGCTCTGCTTCCCCCCGGATGGGCTGGAATAAGTCATCAGCTCAGCGAGGTGCCAGAAAAGTTGCTGGGAGACCATCCCTGATGCTGTTTTATTAACCCAGTCTCTTATTTCTTGAACAGCAGGAAGAATGGCTTTAACGCCATTTTTTAAAAGAGAGCATGTAATCCTCTGGAATCTCATGACCTGCCATTGTGAGACAGGCAGGTGGAAAGACCCAGTGACGCTGTGGGAAGAAGTGCCTAGAGGTGGCCTGTGCTGGGGTTGGTGGGATCACCTCATTGGGAGGCCAAAGGTCAGCGGGGTGCCGTGCTCCCCGTCAGTGTCCTTGGGAGCAGTCAAGGGGCCGATGTAGGTAAGTTCTCTTATTAAGTGTGATGTATGGTGCAAATCTGCACTGCTTCTAGAAGCCCCACGTGGGATGTCTGGGTGGCTCAGTCGGTTGAGTGTCTGACTCTTGATTTCGCCTCAGGTCACGATCCCGGAGTCGTGGGATCGAGCCCCGCATCGGGCTCCGTGCTGAGCAGAGAGCCTGCTTGAGAGTCTCTCTCTCTCCCTGTGCCCTTCTCCCTTTCTCTCTCTCTCTCTCTCTCTCTCTCTCTTTCCCCCTCTGCCCCTCTCCCTCACTCATGGGCACTCTCTCTCTCTCTCTCTCTAAAATAAAAATAAAATAAAAGACCCACTGTATTTTATGTAAATATCACAGAGTCAGGAGCACAACCACATGGATGCTTCAGGGCCCATTTATACCTTGGCAAGCAAACCACAGGATTCCCAATTTACTTATGCAAATAGGAGCACACCTGCAGTCTCGCCAGGAGGTGTAAGGAATTTTAATTACAATGATAAATGCCATCTTCAATAATAAACTTCTAATATCCCTGGCAAACGGAGTGACAATGCACTGCTATTCTCCTTTCCCAGGGGGGCACAGATATTTTAATGAAAGTCTTTTTATACCTCTCATTAAATGTCTGAAAAAAAAATAGCACCCAGCTTTTGGTTCCTTTTTGACAGTTGAGGTACCCTCACTAAAGAGCTCGACCACACATGAAAAGCCAAGACTCTGGAGCCCAAGTTCCTGGGTTCAACTCTCTATTCCACACTTCCCAGCTGTGTGACATCAGGCAGGTTGTTTAACCTCTCTGTGTCTCCGTTCACTCGCCTCTTAAGAGCGAACACTGGTAAGTTGCTTAAAAACCGCACCCCGCACAGCGTCAAGGCCTCAAGAAGTGTCGGCCAGCACACAATCATCATCGTCCCCGTCGTTATCTGTCCCCGTTGTACTGACCTCCTGTAACATATCAGAATCTTCAATGGCTTTGACAGCAGATTTCTTGGACGTTTCCTGAATTTCTCCACCCATTATAAACTCGTCGAGGATAAAATAAGCCTTTTCGAAATTAAAGATAATATCCAGCTCGCAGACCTGGTCAGACAAAAACAAACGTGTCGGTGAACTTGCAGGAGCAGCAGGGGAAACACGTATCAGCCTCAAGCTTTTCCAACAGCCACACCCAGGAGGCGCACCGAAGGGAAAACTATCAAATGGTATTCTAAGGACAGAAAAATAGAAGTGGGGAATCCCAGGCGCTTTAGCAAAAATAAAACCACATTCTATTAAGCAGACCATGTCCTTAAATAATATTCTTTGACGTCACAACAAGAAATTTGAGACTCGGGAGAGGGATCCGGCAGCATGGCTCCTATTTCCACCTGCCCCAATGGAAGCCGAGTCCCCAGTGATGTCAGGCACCAGGGCCTCGCCTCCTTCCTCCCGCTCTCTGGTCCGTAAGTCTGGGCTCCTAGCTACAGGACTATCAGCAGCTCACTCCTCAGAGGCAAATCAGCTCGCCTGTGCTAATTTTTCTCAAAATTATGCCACAAGCCAGTCGTTCTCAAACTTCAGAGCGCACTGAATCCACACGGAAGGCACCTGCTGGGCCCCCACCCTGAACGTTGGGATTCGGCGGGTCTGGGTAAGGCCCGAGAGTCTGCACGTGTGAGGGGTTCCCAGGCGATGCTAATGATGGAGGTCTGGGGACCATAGGGGGAGAACCACTGTCACAGACCAAAGCAGAGCCTAATAGATTTCGTGGTTCAAGTGAAGCCAGAGGCAAGAGAGCCGCCCCTCATGATCCCAATAGGGCTTGTTTCCAATTCCCTGATTGGCCACGCTGGCACTCTCCTGGTGTTTTCCTTCTCACGTTTTCCTCAACTCCCCGACATCCCCGTTCCTATTCCACACCCTCTGGAAGGTTGCTGCTAACTGCAAGTTTCTCGCCCTCTGCCCTCCGCCTCCTTTACCTCTCAGTAGCACTGGATACGCTCCACCATGTCTCTCTTGAAAAATCTCTCCCTTGCTCCCTGACCTGGGCCATACCATTCAAGGCCTGTTCTTGCCCAACATCTCTGGTGATTCCTTCTCAGACTCGCTGGATGATTTATCTCCCCTGCTACTTTGCATTCGGTGAAGAAGTATTTCTGGAGGGGGGCTTGGGACATCAGCAAAATCAACACCGCTGCTTCAGGCCGTTTACCTTCTAGTGACCCACCTTCTTCTTCAGCATAGGCATGTTTCATGAGAGCTTCTTCTCTTTGCGATACATATACTCTAGACAACCTCACAGACTCTCTATGGCTGTGTCTCGCCTCCAGGGTCCCATAACCTGGATGTGTAGCCCTGATCTCCTTCTGGAGCGAGTCCAATATCTTCACCTGCTCAGGAGACATGTCTGCCTGGACATTCCTCAGTCCAAGTCACCATCTGCCAAACTGAAGTTAAGCATATTCTCTTCCCCGCAGACCATTTTGCTTAGTAGCTGAAAATTCGATCTGGGGCTTGACCGAATTCACTCCACAGTGCCACTGATTTCTCCCTCCCCGTCATTCTTTTCCCCCTGCCTCGGGTCTCACGCCGCTCAGTCTGGTCATCAGTTCCTGTTGATTCCATCGTGCAAATAAACGACACCCCTTCGCCTCTTCTGTCTGCTACCCTTTCGCTGCCTTCTCTCAGGCCTGCAACCTCTCTCATCGAGGCCACTGCAGTGACCTGTTAGGTGGCGTCGGTCCCCAGTCAAGGCCAACAATGACTAACGCTCTGCTAAAGTGCTAATCTCGTTCCTCTCCTGTGTAAGGTCTTATGTCCAGAACAAAGTTTTAATTCCTCTACATGCCTTTTGGGACTCTTTATCACCTAGCCTGGGCCCCCCTCTCTCTAGCTTCCTGTGTCAGCATCACCCCCGTGCTACAGCCACGGTCCACTGAGTTCTTTTATGCCTTTACCTTTGCACATACGAGCGATTCCTGGGATACACCCCAGATGTCCTTTTCTTTACGCTGCTGGCAAAACGAAGCTCACTTTTCCAAGGCCAAACTCAAAAGTCAGGGGTCCGGAGGTTCCACCAAAGCCTCTTTTCCCCCACTCAGATTTCCCACCACTTGCTCTGTGTTCTCTCTTACATCTGTGGGCACTAGTGTATGCTTACTTATCGATCTCTCCCCCAGCACTGTGAGCTCGGGCACAGACCTCAGTCATCTTAATATCCCCGGTATCCAGCACATCATAGGATGCAGGACATATCTGTAGGACAAATGAGTCAGTCACTATTTAGGCCTTGTTTCTATGAGGCTGGGAATTAATGGGTTCCCAGATCACTGATTCTCTGATCCTACTGAGGGCTATAACGTTACACGAAGCGGATGTCAACGTTTTAGCAAACTGCTTCACGTATTTAGGACTTAGGTCAATGAAGTTGCAGACTCTACGAGGTAAATCATTAGGTAAATATCACGACCATAAATGGCCAGCTCAGAAAAACTCTTCCAACTACCTGCAAAGGTCCTGGTCTCCTCATTCACTAGAAAACAGCAGTAAGCGGGTAAATCCACAACAAGTGGGTGTATACATCTATCTCTACCTCCTCCCTCCCGCAACAGTCCATCTGCCTCTCTGTCTGTTGTGACGGTGTGGAAATTCCATGTAGAAGTTGGAAAGAATGAGAGAGATTTCCATGGACAAATGGGGAAAGAACTCCAAGGAGAACTCTCCAAGAACATTTGGAGAGGGGAAAGAAAAGAAAGCAAGTTGCAGACTACCATGCGTAATGCAATCCCATTTAGAAATAAAACTGCGTATGTCTGGTTAAAGAAGACACAAGGAGCAAGCAGTTACCAGAGGTCAGTAGAGGCAGGAAGTCAGGAGTAACAGTAGCAAAAGCTGAGGAACCTCAGAGTTCAAGGCAGGCGTAGACAGGAATCGGAGACAGACGGAAGCCTCATTAGGAGACACCAGCAGCTGGGATCCTGCAAGGTGAACCTGGCAGATACTAATGCAAGTTTTTCAGGAACGTCTCAAACCCCACTCGCAGACAGCCATGGGGCGGTTAATTGACTGCATCTAGTTTCAAGGGAAGGGAATAAAGTCGCAGGCACGCAAAGTCCGATAGAGAACACACACGCGCAGGCACACATGCACACACACATACATACACACACACACACACACACACACAGCAGCAGCAGCAACTTGGATGTACACTGACTATCTCCAGGTTATAAGGAAACAGGTGTACAAGTTCTATCGGAACTGTAGGGAGTGTCACATATGAGCAACGATTTTGTATACAGCAACTCCAAAATCCTACTTCTATGGTTATTCTTTGAGCCTAACCCCAAGGGGTTACTGTATCTGAGAGCAGAAACAGGAAACACCTCCCGGAGCACCCTAGACCAGATGCAGGTTTCTTCAGCTAACTGCCCAATTACTCAAATACTGGTGATTCCACTTAAGGGTACTGTCCCAGTACATCAGGAATGTGCCCTCAATGCTTAAATTACCGCATTTCATCTATTATGTAAAAATAAATGGTTTCTGTGTTTATAAACACGTGAGCATCTGAATTTTTTTTACACATTTTCTTGTGTATACATAGACTCTGGAAGAAAGCTTATAAAAAGGCAGAAACAGTGATAATTTAATTTCACCCTTGATCTCTTAGCCTGTGCTTTAATTTGGCTTGAGGGTCTTCTCTTAGAGCAGAATACATGTCTTCGTAAGATTATTTCTGACATTTCATTAACTAAATACTTTTGGATAGAGTCTAAGAAGAGCCTTCTCTTACTGAATTCTGTTCTAAAGTAAGTACAAAAAGTTTAAATTACATATAGCAAATGTATAAAACCATATATAAAATAATACAGTTTAAGGTACAACGACATAGCAATTGACAGTTTATAAAGTATTGTCGATCACACTGTCTCTTTGATCCCCACAACAGCCCCATGAAATTAGCAAAGTAAATATTTCTGTTAACCTTTTGGAGTGTTATTTTCTTATCTGTGAAATTAGAGATCTATCATAAGCCAAATCACGGGTCTGGTTAGTGGGTGACTGGGCACCACTCACTCAGGACCTAGCAGGACTCAGAGCCTTCCTCCTCCTAGAAGAAAACTTCCTAAATCAAGATCAAGCCTCTTTGGGATAGCAACACCCATACCCTCTGAGCACATCAGCAAAAACTCACACCACAGCCTGTAATGGGAAAATATGGCAGGTGGCTAAATCCTCAAACAGACCTTTATCTACTCAAAGACTCTGGGGCATCTCTTCGTAGCCTCTGTAAATTGGGGTTAATGTTGTTTACGGAAGATTGAAAGATTAACTAGTTAATCCGTGTAAGTCTCCCTGGAATGGAAAAATGCTCAAAAAATACATAAGTTAGTAGCCAGAGAGTTTGATTGATCTGCCATAGGAAGGTAATATTTTCCACTGTTGTAAGAGAAACACAGTACAAAGTTTTCTCTTGGATAATATCAAGGGCAGAATTCAAGGAAACCTTCAGTATTAACAAAGAAAAAAAGAATGCCAAAGAGAAATAGATTATTCCTGAGATGATGTCAATGAGAATCAGTACTGGTAGCCTTTGCTCATCACAGTTAATTAATAAGAACTGAACACCTACTGGGCACATAGCCTTGAATTGCTCTTAGCTGCTCTTAGCTTAATAAAAGATTCATTGAATTTTTTAGTGAATTAAATTTTGGTCCGTGGCAAAGACAGAGCTTCTAAAGGTACGCCACAATAGGATGAAAAATTAATGTTAGAGAAATAGGAATTCATTCTGATTCTCCTTATATCTTAACTGAGCTTAGCATTGGTGAAGGTGATTTAGATTGTCTTAAGAAAGCAATGTGTCGTGATAAGACTAAGACCGAAATTTAACCCCAATTCACGTTATCACAGTTGGGTAAATCTAGGAAAACATATAGTTCAAACCAGAGTGCGGAAATTAGGGGCAGAAGGTCCTAGGGAAGCCTGGGCCTCACAAAAACTCCTGCAGGCCTTTACAAAAGGCCAGGTCTGCAGTGGATTTCAAAATGTCAGTCTTCATTTGAATAATGGAAAGCATAAATTTAACGAATCTCAAGTTTGAAAACATGCTATTATATGTTTGCAAATCTCTCTTTAAAAAAAATGAAAACCCATGGAGGGAGGGGAAGGAAAAAAAAAAA